ACGATGTATACTTTATTATATACAAATCAAAATAAAGAAATGATGTTTACCTACTGGGGAAACCCCCCCAAAAAAAATATAAACAGTATATGGTATATAATAAAATTATTATTATTATAGTTTAATAAATAATAATTCAATTAATATAAAATTTTAAATATATTTTTAATTAATAAATTTATTTGAAAATATTAATTCAAAGTCAAAAAAATTTTCAAAAAATATATTATAAATTATATATATAAATTTATATATAATATATGGATAGAAATTTAAATTTTATTATAAAAAAATTTTAAAAAAATTAAATATAAAAATAAATAAAACTTTTAAGCTTATAAAAAAATTATAAAAGATTTATTATTAAAATTGGTTTATTTTTTTATTATATAAAATTATTTTTAAAAAATCTTTAAAACCTTTAAAATTTTTATTTTAATATAAAATTTATGTTTTTTTAGTAAAATTTGATTAAATTTTAAATGAGATTAATTATTAAATAATTTTTTATACTTAATAAAAAAAACAATAATTATATTATTATTATTTTGACTTTTATTTAACAATATATGCATTGAAATAATTTTAATAATTTTTATTATATCTATTTTATAAATTAATTATTTTTTTAGAAAAATTTTTTAAATTAAATTTTAAGAAAATTTTAATAATATATTTTAAAAACTTTATTAAGTAAACTTGTTTTTTTATTAAATATATTAATATAGATTTTTATCTTGTTTTATCAATTAATTATTAAAATATTATAAAATAAAAATTAATATGTAGTGCAATTATTTTTGTTATATACTGTATATTAAGAAAAACTGTATTCTATTATATTTAATTATGTATTTTAATATAATCTAACATTTATATTATATTTTTATGTTTTTTTTATTAATAATTATTTTAGAATATTATATATAAATATTTAATAATAAGTTAATTACTTAATTAAAATTTGAAATATAATTTGTACAATGAGTCGTTTTTTACTTTAATATGATAATATGATTAAACCTTTTAAGTTTAAGAATGCTAAAATTTTTATTCAAAACTATTATATAAAAATTAATAAAAATTTACCGTATATATCAGGTATACGATAGCATAATCATGTGACAGGCTACATAATTAACCACATATGTATAGATCAGATAATTTTTTTTTTTAAAAAAAAAAAAATCCGAGACGCGCTTTTTGATTTGTCTAAATAGCAATGTCCAAGAAAAATCATACTAGAGAACGGCTGTCTCGTTCTTCTACAATAAATGATGAAAACAGAAGCAGTGCAGAAAGCAAAGAGGAGCTAGAAAATGGTGCCAAATCTGTTGAAGATAATGAGTATAATGAAAAGAAAAGAAGAAAGAAAGATTCGAAATCAGGCTCATCAACGAAATCAAAAAGAAAAAAAAATGAAGCTAATGAAGTTGGAGAGACCGAAGGCAATAACGGTTTAGACGGTATTAAGCCAAAGAAAAGAAAAACGGAAATAGAAAGTTCTACAGGCGATGCAATTGAAAAAGATTTGGATATGAAAGATTCAGATGCTTCCAACGATGCGGTGAAACAAGAAAATGAAAAAGAAGCAGGAGAAATTCCGGAGAATTTGAAACTTACATCATATCGAATTAGTCAAGAGACAATAGACTGCTTGAAAAAGCGTGGAATCATGTCACTATTTCCTATTCAAGCTTCCACTTTCGATCTGATTTATGATGGAAAGGATGTTTTAGCTAGGGCAAAGGTTTGTTCGTTATCTTTGTATATAACTCAGAAGCAGGAATGGATTTTTTTTTGCATATTATCTAACAAATTGTTATTACTGATTCCTAACTGGACTTTACTGTAGACCGGAACTGGTAAGACCTTGGCGTTTGCACTACCAATAACAGAAATCCTCTTGGAGCTACAGAAAGATGATAGGAGTTTTTATAGTCGCGGCCGTCCACCAAAAGTTATTATAATGACACCCACTCGTGATCTGGCAAAACAGGTTTCAGCCGAATTTGAGTCCATTGCTCCAAATTTAAAGGTTTTGTGTATTTATGGTGGCGTGGCATATGATCTCCAAAATCAAGGTTTACGTGAAGGCATTGATGTGCTAGTTGGCACGCCTGGTCGAATTATGGATCATATTGACCGTGGCAACTTGAAATTAGTCAATATCAAATTCGTAGTTTTAGATGAAGCTGACCAGATGTTAGACATTGGTTTCGCCGAAGCTATGGAAACTGTTCTAAAGCATATAAGGCAACATAAAGAAGATCAAGGTAGAGGTATTGACTATCAGACTCTTTTATTTTCTGCCACGGTACCTGACTGGGTTAGACAAGCAATAAAGAATTATTTGAGAACAAATTATGAGAATGTGGATTTAATAATAAATACAGATACGAAAACAAATGGTATGTATATATTCATAAATTATTTTCTTGAAATCATTGTGCTTACCGTGCGAATGTTATTTCCTCAAGAAAATATTAGTCATTATGGAATTCGCTCTGGATGGAATTCCCGAAGAGATATTATTGGTGACGTTGTTACATGCTACGCTGGCACAGGATCCTGTGTTATTTTTTGTAATACTAAAAATGATGCAAATGGTATGTTAATTTATATTCACTATTTTCGGATATCAATTGTTATTAATTTATTTGTAAAAATGATTGTATATTTCAGAGCTTGCACTTAATGATAAGTTGAAGCAAGATGCGCAAGTGTTACATGGAGATATTGCCCAAACGCAAAGAGAAATTACCATGAAACGTTTCAGAGAGGGAAAGTTTAAATGCATTATATGTACAGACGTCTTAGCAAGAGGGATTGATATTCCACAAGTTGGTGAGTATTGATTTTCTTGTTAATGCTCAATGTATCTTCAGATATTGAATTTTATATTTTGTTACAGATTTAGTGATCAATTGCGAACCGCCAAAAGATATAGAAACTTACGTTCACCGGGCTGGTAGAACCGCGCGAGCGGGACGGCAAGGAACAGCCGTAACGTTTTTCAAACCACAAGAAGAATATCTTCTGTTAAACATTCAACGACGTACCGGAATTGTGTTTCAAATGGTTGGCCCACCACAACCGCAAGAAATCATTGCTGCCACTGCAAATGATGTCATCAAAAATATAGAATCTGTCGAGAGTACTGTGGTATCATATTTTCATGAAACAGCTAAGGAATTAATAGCTTCCCAAGGAGCAGTCGAGGCGTTAAGTGCAGCTTTAGCATACATGAGTGGCTACGCTGGAGGAATCAAGAAACGCTCATTGATGTCAGCCGTAGAAGGGTACACTACATTGCTATTCAGATTTACATATCCGATCAGGCACAGTAGTTATGTAAGAAATATTTTCAAAAATCATTATCCACAATTATCAGAGGACAGTATCAAAGCATTTAAATTAACAAAAGATATGCAAGGAGTGGTATGTGATATTTCTAGTGACAAGTTAGAAATTGGAAAGGATGGAGAGATCATTCTAGCCGGGAAACCTTGGGCGAACTCTAAAACCACAACATTGGAGATTGCGAAGGAGTTACCGGAATTACAGGAAGTTAGTAGATGGAATCACGGAGATGGTGGTGGAAACACTAATGGAGGTGGATATAGGAGCGGGAATCGAAATAGTAATAAATTTGGAAATAATCGGAATGGAAACGGATATGGAGGAAGTGGTCGTGGTAGTAGTCGTGGTTACGGACGTAAAAATTTTTAACTGTAATTGTCAATTATATACTTTATTCTGGAATTCATGAGAATTAAGTTTTATCTCTTATAGTAGTGATACTGGATAAGATACTTTAGGATGATAATCCAATCTTGTTGACTTTCTAATATATGCATGTATGTATAATACTAGGAATATTTTTGTTTTTAGACGAGTTTGTATGTATCATTTCAAAGGAGAATACCAGCAGTTTAAAATTTTTTATTTGGTAACAAGATTAAGACAAATCAAGAAAGAAAAAGCAATGACATATAAGTATAAGGAAATATTAAAGCAGCATTTGTTCCCTCTTTTTTTTTTTATATTCCTTTTCTCCATTACGTTTTCCATTTAACAACAAAAAAAAAATATAGAATATTTATAATAATTCTTTCTGACGAATTTCCATACATTTTTTTTTTAAAAAAAATACATTATTGAAAAAATTGTTAAGACTCCAATTGTGATTTGAATTATTTAATACTGTATATTGCGTGCTTTTAAATGACAAATTTGATTTTAAATTAATATGCATTGTATATACTGTATACTATTTATTGTTATATCTTGATAACTTTGTTATTGGAATGACAGGTATTTTAACACATCAAAAAAGTACTCTTCAAATCACAATCTTTATTGTCACATTGTTTCTATTGTACCTATAGGTATAAACAATATTTAAGGATGGTTTTAATATCTTTTACTCTTACCTTTTTTTAAATCAAGAACTAGCTGTCATATCATGAAAATTTTGTTAGTCACTAGACAAAAAAAAAAAGTGTGATGATGACAGAGATATCGATGAGCCAAAGACAAGCAAGAGTTAAAGACTGAACTATTTAATAAGGAATCGAAAAAAATCAAAATTTCAAGGATCAGAGGTGGTAGCACCACAGAGCATTGCAGATTTATTAAAATTAGAAGAGGCAATTAAAAGAAAATGATCATATCGAGCACAAAGGGTAGGGATCTAAATTATTAAATGTAAAGTGTATATATCTCTGGTTCTTTCTGTAGTAAGCATTGCATTAATTAGAATTAATTAGGCTATCATTAAAATCTACGAAATTCAAACAATAATGTGACTACCTTGCCTATTAAATTATGTAAGATACATTTGTGCTATAAATCGATTATATCAAATATACTAATTTCACTTTTGTCACCATGGGTGAATGTTATATCACCGAAATTTAAAATGTCTTTGGGTATTAAAAAATTTTTCGTTGTATCGTCCTCATTACTTATCTCATCTCCTTCAAAATTTCTACCTTTCTCGTCTTCATTACCTATGTTGTCACCACCTAGCTTTCTGCTGTCGGCAACTGGTTCTCTTTTTAGTCCACCTTTTTCCTTCGTACCTCCCAGATAACCACCACCTCTAAATTTCTCAATCGAGTTATCTTCATAATATTCTACAGGTAGCCGATTTATCCGATAGGTGGGTTTGGGTTTGACTACCGTCATACGTGTGGTGTAGGCGGCAGAATTTATACGCTCATCTTCTTCAATTTGTTCGGGCGTTAGATGTAGTGGGCGATTCGTTGGACGATTCTTTAAGAGACTTGAAACGGGGTTCACCAGAAATCGAGAGAGTTGATGTGATCGCAAAAGGATTAACATTGAAATCATCGATATTGCCTGAGACAGATCTTCCGTTATCTGTTTAGAAATAGATTAGTCATGGTTTCTGCTGTAAGTGCCAGATCAGTTGCCATAAGAAATTACCCTTCTCTTCCAGAAATTGTTAATGGTAGGTTTGAGGTTCAACGAGGCGACATTAGAAATTGTCAGGAAGGAGAATGAAACCATAAGGGTAATCAGGGCGATTAAGACCTAAAGTTCAAAAACCATCAATCAATCAAGTGTCGCGTAAAATGCTACTACGTGTCGAACCAAAGTACCTGTAGTGCTTTCCCTTTGTCAGCCTTGCTGGAAAACTTGAACGTCAAAGAATCGCCAATTTTTTGATTAATTTCGCGATCGGTTGCAAAGTCATAAATCATGATCACTCCAAATGTTAAGTAGCCCAGATTCATCAGAATAATAAATAGTAATTTGTTAACGATCAAAAAGACCGTCGAGAAATGCACATTTTTTGCCGTTTCAGTCACAAATTCGAAAAATAATAATCCCACTGTCATGCAAATACCGAATAACAAAAGAAGTCTTTGAAATTCGGCAACCAGTTTAACTATAGGGGAAAGCTTTATGTCACACTTTGTTGTTTCTACTGATGCTTTTATCCTGCATAAAAAGCGGAAAAAGGTGTGATGATGAGTGCAACGGAAAGATGAATCCATGATCACACAATACGAATTATGTTTGTACCATGAGTATTGTAGTCCAACGTAAAATACGCAAAGCAAAAGGAAAACGACGCCATCGATTATTGAATAACTAGCTGCAGGTATCAATTCTTTTACGTTTCCCGGATCGACATGAAGAATAATCAACGAAGCTACGAAATGAAAAAACAAAATCGACAAATGAATTTACTATGAAGTCGTTAAAAGAAAATCCAAATAATTGATGTAACTACCCATTGAGCAAAAGGCGATGCCAGGTAACACAAAAAAGTTTGGATTTAGAATAAACTTTGTCAGATTTTCGGGGAGCGTCCAAGACCGAAGGGAATAACACATGATGCCACACGAAAATATAAATATTAAGCCGTAAATAACGCCTAGTACGGTGGACCACGCAATCCAAATTCGACTTTTTAGTAAGCGAACCCATGGACCATTATCTTTGGTGAACGGGGGTTTGATTAATTGAAAAGTTCCATCCCAAAATTTCGACGCAAAATAGTAATAACAAAAGTAAGTTACCGGACGTGACAGTTACTTTGCTGGTCATGTTTGCGAGATTAATCAGTTGATCCATATCACTTTTTCGGAGCAACGTCAACCCCGTCTTGGCTTTCAGTATCTCGCTTCGATCATTTATCGGCTCTTTTATTCCAGGATCTCCGCCGTTCATTGAAGTAAGAACGATCACTTGGGGAATACTTGGAGATAGATCAGAGTCATCTCGTTTCACCAACTGGTTTGTTTTTTGATCTATCCTCACAAAGTTGTTACACCGATCCTTACAACCTCGCGGTTGTATTCTTTCGCGGGGCAATGCTCGTTTTTTAACATTTGACGAACTGATTTGATTATTGGATGGCGATGTCACGTCTTGGGTTATCCAACTGTTACTGGAAACACCAATAAAGAGGGAATGTAAACGTCTTGATCGCAAATATTCACAATACGGTAACGAAAAAACATCTACCTCAAAATCAAATCATCTATTGAACTGCAACCAAGTTCCATAGCTTTGTCGAATGGAATAACCAACAAAGCAATCCCAACAGAGATAGGTTCAAGCGTACACGGTAATGAAATGGTTTCATTGATCCCGTTTCCGGAAACACTCGAGGCGTTCGTCTGTTGTTTAAACTTTGCGATTTGCATCTTCCCTTGGATTATCATGTCCCTCTTATAATAATCGGGGACCGGACTTTGGTAGTAAGAAAATGGGAAATCGACATTTGGCAAGGATGTCAACTCGTTACTTGATGAATCGTATAATGATATTTTTGCATAAGCTGTGTTCGACGTCGATAAAATAAACATCAACATCAACAACAATAACATGTAACCTTTGTGGTCTACCATCTTTCTATGAAGTGTTACAGAAGGAATTACGTGCATTAGTTGATACATGAAGAATTTGATCCTTGAACATATATGAATGTATAAAAAAAATTTTTTTTTTTTTTTTATTATTATAATTATAATTTTATGAATTTCTCTATTCTTTCTACCAGAGAGAAAGGAGGAACATATAATCGACTATCTGGTACTATTATAAAGGCATTTGTTTGACCATTAGAGGAAATGGTGATAATGGAATCGCGTTTTGGCAAATTG